CCCAGACTAGCTCCTTTTTTCACTTCCTTTGTTGGGAACTTACTGGAGCTACTAACGTACCTGGTGTCTAAGGCTGTGACAGAACGCAGGTCCGGCTGCCTGCCGCTATGACAGCCAATAATACTCCAGAGGCCGGTGCTAATGTAGAGGAAAGTGGTTTATTCTGGCACCCTGGACGATGGGGACTCGAATCACAGAGCCCATCTCCCATCTTGGTGGAGGCGGAGGTTTCTATAAGGAGGTAAAGGGAATGCGACCGAGGGAGGGGCCTGCAAAGTGCTCTGTGTGTGGACGAGCACAGTCCAGTCCGAGGAGACCAGTGACGGTGGTGAGTGTCTTCCGGGGTTAGTCATGCCGGCTCCCCGTCACCCCGGCCTTACGTTTGGAGACCCACGTATCTCCTGGGGCCAGGATGCCTGCAGGGTGGAGTCATCTTTTGAAGTCAGTTCCTAGGATTCTTGTGCAAACGCACTGTTCATCTACAAGCCACACAGTAGTCAGAGTGAGCACTCACAGCAGCAACGTCAGGAGAGTGGTGGGTGGGCTAGACACCCCCACGGGTACAATTTCCCACTGTTACAAGGCCTATTGTCAAGCTTGCCAGGGTTATTTTCAAAAATCAAACTGTTTTTAGTAAACTTGTATGAGCCGCAGAATGTGTAAGTAGTCATTTTTATAAAGTGCCAGAAAAAGTCTAGTAATTATTGTCCCAAACAAGCCTCTCTTTCTCTTCAGTTTGTCTGACATGGAAAGAAAAAGAAAGTCTTCCCAAATGAAAGGCCTGCAGTGAGCTGTGCTAAGCCTGGGTGGCTCCAGTCACAGTCACGGGCATCCCGCCCCCTCCTCCAGCCACAGCTTCTATCCCCCCCCACACCCACCGCAGCAGCGGTGGGAGGGCCAGTGTGCAGTCACTGGGTTCTGTGTTTTATGGTTTGGGGGAGGGGCTATGTTAGGGCATGGAGGTATAATTTTTTTTTTTTGCATCTAGACAGTAAATGAAGTATTACTGTAATTTCTCTTTCTGAGCTCATGGAAAAACTCAAGTCATGGAATGTTAGTCTCACAGAGGAGGAAAGTTTGACGGCGAGGTTACCTGACTTGCCCCAAAGCCCGTAAATCACGCGGGAGGAAGAGCTGGACCAGGCAGGGCTCCCAGGCCCTTACACACAGATGGCATTTTCCTAAAACAGGGACGCCAGCAGTGCCCCGGCCCCGGGGGACGCTTCGAGCCCTCGTTTGCATAGTTGTGAGCCTTCCCAATGTCCCCTGCCAAGCGGTCATGTTCAAACAGTCATGTTCTGCCTTCCGTCCTTCAAATGGTCGTTCTCAGATGCTTACTTTTGTAGTTGCTCCATGACCCTACCTTGTCAGCACCTTCTATCGCATGGAGCAATCCCTGGGGAGAAGTAGCATTTTCATCAGCCGCTTCACTGGGATAGTGCCTCCGAGGCAGGTGTTGTCTCCGTGACCCAGCCGTGGACTCCCAGGAGGGTGGGGCAGCTTGCTCAAGACCACGCAGCTGCTAAGCAGCAGGGCTGCGATCCCACCCTGGATGCCCACCTCCACAGCCTCTGCACAGCAGCTTGTCACGCCTGCGCCGTGCGGGCAAGGCCGCCAGTCTCTCTGGGTCCTGGTAGGGGGCTTGAGACCCTAAACCACCAAGCCAAGTTGCCAAAGGCCACTTCCTCCCCTCTCGGTGCTTTTCCTCCCCTGAAACTCCTTGTTTCTCACCCTGCCCTCCGGGTCGGGACCACCCTGTTTAAGAAGGGGGTGTTTTAGAGCCACCCAGGGAGGCTGCTGCGTGCTCAGACTGCAGCCCGGGCCAACCTGAGGTTCATCCCCACGGACTCGCAGGGCTGGGTCATTTTGCCAAGGACACCTCTCTCTGCGTGATCACTGACTGAGTGAAAGTCAGCAGGTGGGATTCACTGATGTGGAAATCATCAGAATAGGGTTTCCTATCCTGATCTCTGTCTGGGTCTTCTCCCTGAGACTTCAGGGGGAAAAAAAGAAAGAAAAATGATAATAACACCACAGTGAAGACAAGAATTCTTAGACAAAGCAGAGCTAGATCCCAGGAGCCCAAATGCAAAGCCTCAGGCAGCAGAAGAGGCATTCTCCTCCCTCAGACAGTGGTTTTCAGAACAGTCCCGTAATCCCAGACTGACGTCCTCACCAGCCAGCAGAATGAGCCCCACCAAGACAGACAGACGGGCAAAGGGAGCACTTTACCCAGTGTGGCAGGGGTCCCCAGCCCTGGGACTGGCTCCCACAGGAAGCCAGGACAGGGAAAGCCCCAGCTTTCCTTTCTGGGGAGAGGGGAGAAGGGGAGGACATCAGGGAAAGACCTGACTCTCTAAGGTCAAAGCCACCGCAGCACACCTCCTGGTCGTCAATGCAGACAATAGAACCTGGGATCAGAGTGTTCCAGAAAACTCTGGAGCCTTGTGGTTGTTGGATTTGAGTGTCAGTCATAGTCAGGAACTACTCAGAGACTGGGTCCCGCTTGGATTTTGCTCTCCTGTGGCCACTCTGGACCTCCGGCGCTTCAGGGTTCCTTCTCTGCCCTCCCCTCCACCTCTCCAGACGGGTACTGCCCAGGGCTCCGGCCCGCCACCTCCTCCTCTTGCCCTTGCTCTTTCTCCCCATTTCCAACACGTGCTCCCGAGGGACTGTGTCCAGTCCCTGGCTTTAGCCACCACCTGCTAGCGTGGTGACTCCACCTGCACCTCTAGTCCTCGTACCTCCCCTGAACTCCAGACCTTTGGAGGTAGCCGTCTCCTGGACATGTCCTGCCGGAAATGCAGGGGCCCATCAGGCATGATGTGAACACCTGGAGTCGTGCCCCTCCCCGGACGCAGCCCAGCGTGGACCTTCACCAGGGCCCAGCACGCACCAGTCAGCACAGTTGTCTCCCACTCGCCCCCTCCCTTACCCTCCCTGCCCACAGTGTCTCCAAGTCAGATCAGTGCTGCCACTGAACTCTCCCTGGAACCCGTCCCCTCCTCTCCACTCCTTCCACACACCGCACCCCATCAGGCCCTCAGTGGCTTTTACCCTCTCAGGACCCCACACTGCCACACCCCTCCCCTCTCCTGCTTCCCCTCCCTTCCCTCTGATTAGCCCTCTGCCCCATTCTCCTGACCAACTCCTTTCCCTCAGACCCTAACTCGGCCAAGCCTCTGGGACTTTGCCTTCCCCTAGCTCCCACCCTGACTCTCCCCTCCCTTCTCCGACAGGCTTCTGGAAAGACGCATCTGCACGCTCCCCTTGCTGTTTCTCCATCACCCACCGTCTTCTCGCCACAGCCAGGACCCCCAGCCAGGCGCCTCTCCCCTCTCCTGGGAGACACAGGGCACGCTGGCTCTTTGGATGCATCTTGGGGGCAGCATTGCTGCTAACAGCTCCCTCCCCCTGAGGCCCCACTGCCAATTCCCTCCTGCCTCCCTGTCTGCGCCCCTTCTCCTCCTGGGGGCTGCTCTCTGCCACACTCCTCTCCATCACCTGTCATCACTCACCTCTTGCTCCACACTCACATGCCCCCAAGAATTCTCTCACCCACTCCCACGGCAGCGGCTCCTCACAGGCCAAGGGTGACTCCCACAGCTGATTCCTCACCCCAGCTCTCCGGCCCGCGCTCCAGATCTTTATATCCAGCTGCCACAGGACACTCCCTCTGGGTGAATCAAAAGCACCTCAAACTCAGCACGTCCAATACCATTGCCCTGGCAGACCGGCGTCCCCTCCATGCCCCTTATTGTAAAACTGGTGACCCATCTACCATGATGCCCATGCTAATAGCACCTCAGTGACCCCTGACTCCTCCTCCTTCTCCTCCACACCCTGCATGCAGGCTCCAAGTTCTGCTGGGTCCATCACCCTAGACACTGCCCAGGTTTGTAGTCTCTCTCCAAGCCCACCTCCACTGCCACGGTCAAGCTTCCACACAGTCCCCTCCTGGTTACCTGACCCTCTTGCCTCCAGTCTTGCCTTGGTTTGTTTTAGCAGGTCCTCAAAGCCTGCTCCTGACAGAGATGGAATCGCTCACCTGCTTCTCCATCCCCTGAAGGACTCCTGGCTTGGCTCTAGGCCCTGCCACAGGCCGCCCCCTTCCTCTACCCTTGACGCCACCACCCCCTGCTTCACCCAACCCCACCGCCTGCATTTCCTGAGTGCACGCCTCGTTTTGCTTGTAAAGTCTTTCCCACCCTTCAGGCCAAAGAGCAGGTCTCCTGTCTGGCCTGGGGCCTCCTCCAGGCTCCCATGGCGCCTGCTGCCCCGCTGCTCCATGGCACATTGTCTGAGGGTCCACAGGTCTGCAGGCTCTGAGCTCTTTCAAAAGGAGCCTGGATCCTATCCACTCACCCATCTTTGTCTCCCCCAGGCTAGCAGAGCCAGGTAGCTCAGTGGTGGGTGATTGATAGGTGCTTGGATGAGCCCTCCCTCCACTTGACTGTTTGTTTACCTGTTCGTAGCTCCTCCAGGGCAGAAATCTTTGCAGCATCCACCTGGCCTCAGTGCCAGACATATTTATTGCAAGAGAGAATGAGGTACCAAGGTGGCGGGCTCCACCTTTCTCCAGGGTTTGCAAGAGTAGCTTACATTCTTTGCACTTCTGTCAATCATAAGATTTAGTCCTTATCTGTCTTTTAGCGAGCAAGCCTGGGGAACAGAGGGCACTCCTGGAATGTAGGGGCAAGTCTGCTGGGCAAAGTGTTGGGGGCTCAGCTTTGCCTCTCCCCACTTCGGGCAGGGGTTTGTAGCCTCATGACCAGTGGAGGATCTTCGGGTTCAGGGACTGGCAGGCTCCAGGAAGGGAGTGCGGTGCGGGGAGAGCCTCTCCTGTCCCGGGACCTGTAGCCTCGGTGCCAGGAAGCGGGTTGGGGAGGGGAGGGAGGACTGGGCGGCCCGCAGGGGCGGGGGGCGGGGAGGCACCGGGGCTCCCCGCCCTCCGCCTGCCCGGCGGGCCTCCCCGCCCCTCCTGGCCACTTATTAGCCGGGACGCGGCAGAGGCGCCCTCACTGCCCGCTGCTCGCCGTCGCTCCTCGCGTCCTCACTCCATGGCGCTCCTCCTGCGGCTGCTGCCCCTTGCCTTGGCGCTGGCCCTGGGCCCCGCCAACACCCTGGAGGGCCCCGCCAAGTCACCCTACCAGCTGGTGCTGCAGCACAGCCGGCTCCGGGGTCGACAGCATGGGTAAGCCGGCCGGCCGGCCGCTGGGGTGGCTTTGGGACAGGCTGGGGGCGCCAGGGCAAAAACGGTGGAGTGGGGCGCTCCCTCCGCGGGACCAGTCTGCATGAAGTGGAGGGAGGGAGGGGACGGTGGAGGGAAACCCAGCCGCCGAAGCTTTGTAGAGGAAGGGGGTGGGAGAGTCGACCAGCGACCCCAGACTCGGGCCAAAAACATGAGAGCACCCAACCCCGGCTTTCCGCTTCTCCAACCGGCCGACAAGAGAAAAGGAGAGTAGGCGGCTCCGCCCAGAATCACCGTGGGAAGTTGGCCGGGCAGAGAGGAAGCCCACTCAACAGCACATGTGTTCCAGTCCAGCCAGGTCCTTGTCCAGCATCTCCAGTCATGACCCTGGGGCCATGCAAGTTGGTAGCATCCAAGGCCGCAGGTTCCTGTTCGCCTGGCCTGGCGCTGTGCCCACCACCTGGCACTAGACAGCTCCCTGCACACAGCTGGGATAGTGAAGGCAGTAGCTCCCCTGCGGAATGAAGAGCGAGAGAATTCCATGGCCACCCACCCGTTGCACAGATGGGGAAACTGAGGCCAGAGGGGACACAGCACTTTCCCAGGACTGGGATCCCTCTTAAAACCACAGCTACGATTGTAAATTTGGGACGTGATCATCACATTCCTTAGGGGCATATCTGCATAAGATGTGTTGGCCTTAGAAGGCAAACCCAGGCAGAGGGTCTGACCTGGTAAGGACCCTGGCAGACCCAGGCAGAGGTGGGCACTGGGCCGACCTGCGCACACAGAGCCAGGCTGTGCCTGCCCGGTTGCCCCAGCTCCTTTCCCACCCCCAGGTACCACGGCATGTGGGTGGAGTTTTGCACCTGCCCAAACTCTGCTGGGTCCAGGCGTTCGTGCCCAGGGAGGTCCAGACCACCTGGTGACTAGGGACATTTGTACTCAGATCAAAACTCACTGTTAGGGGTGATTAGAGGTGACTTCATAGGACTTTACAAAGCCTTGGCTCCCACCCCAGGACTGCTGCAGGATTCGGGGTCGTGCCCTTATTACCTCTGCCTATGTCCTTACACCCTTACCTGCCTGGACTTTCAGGTGCCCGGGCCTGCAGGGAGGGAGACCACTGGGAGTAAGTCTGACTACTCTGCAGAGTGGAGTGAAGCCAGGCCAGGCCACAGACCCAGTGCCCTCCCAGGAGGAGGAGAGTGCCAGGGAGGGAGGTCCCGGGGTCTTTAGGGGGAGCACCACCTTCGAGTCAGGCTGGTACTGAAGGGTGAGGGGACAGGTCAGAAGGATGAGGGGCTCACATGGCTTTAAAGCCCAAATGGGGGCAACTGGCATTTTCACTGTCTCTGCCTGGCTCACCTTTGCCCCTCTGCCTTTCTTGCAAATGCCGTGTGTTACAGTTTCTGCCTGGAGGTTTGTGTTCCTTTGCACCTTAGCCGCTAAGTACAAGTTTCCTAGGGTCTCCTGCAGCCCTGTCACCTAGACTGGTGCCTGCACACCACAGTGAAACCTCCCTGAAGGTGTCAGTCTCTACAGCAAACTCCTTCCCATCAGTCAGAGCACAGAAGACAGGAACCAGCCTGAAAACAGGTGTGTTGTTTGAATGCAAATGCTCTTTGTTATGCATTGTGGGTATTAGACCCACTTTCCACCTCCCTCCCCAACACCCCTGCGGGCTAGCCCTGCTGATTAGCTTCTGGTGCCCTTGGCTCGGTGTTGGAGAGGCCTGCGGTGATCTGCGATGGGCGGAGCAGGCCAGGCAGGCACATGTGCACCCCCCCACCCAGGAAGCCTGGATGCTCAGGCAGACGATCCGTGACAAAATGGTTACAGGCGCAGTTGCGTTCCCTCCGGTCTAACTGTCCCTGAAAATGCCACAGGGCTGCCTGCCTGACACGGGGTGTGGTGCCCTGTACAAAACGGACAACCTTGTTCAGGCTCCAGCCCTTCCTTCAAAGTGAAAAGGGAAGAGAAAGCTCTCTGCTGTCTTAAGGAAGTACAGAGCGCTCCAAGATGGGCCCTGCTGGAGTGCAGCCCGCCATCTCCCAGCACCCCTGTTGCAGCCTCGGCAGCTGCGCTCTCTCCACCTGTGAAATGCAGCCTCGGGGTCCCACTTCACAGGTGGAGAGAGCGCAGCTCCGTGAGACGGCAGGCACGGCGCAGACCGGGGCAGAAAGCTGTTGGGAGAGCGGTGACGACGACGTGGTCGCTCCACTCCCGTTGTATCTGTGTTGCCATAGGGAAGGCAAAAACAATCCTGAAAGAGAAGTAAAAATGCAGCCACACTTCCGAATAGCACCCACCAAAACTGGACTGAATTTCCTGAAGCACTCGCTTTTCAAATCCGAGTCGAGCAGCAGAGCTGCCGTGCTTGAGGCAGAAGACCCAGAAATGGCTTGCTCGTTGCATCTACTGCTGTGTGCGCGGCCCAACCTGTCATCCTGATGTGAGAGGGGGCGGGTCACAGTGCCCCCCAACCCCTGCTCCTGTCTCAGAAGGAAGCCGCAGAGGAAACTCTTCTGGGGAATGTTGGAGCCACATTCAGAAGAGACCCGCTGATGATTTGCCAGACGCCCATGGGAGCTGCAGGGAACTCGGCAGTAATTGTTTCCTGCTGGGTCAGATAGAGGAGTGGGGGCTGTGCACCTAGGGCTGGAATGCGGCCAGCAGGAACTCCCCAGGGCTTGGCTGGGGACTGCTGAAGCCTGTGAGTCACAGACAGCAAACAGAAGCAAGGTGGCTTCTTGTTAGAATCCTCTGGGAGCTGCGGGCATTGGGCCAAACCGAGTCACCACTAAGGGGACCTGGGCTCTGCTCCCAGCCAGCCTGGCTTCCCTCCCCAGCCCTGACCGCTCTGGCCTTCGGGTTCTTACACTAACTCGGCGATATTCACTGTGCCTCTTTGTCCCACTCACCTTTGCCTACTGAACTACCGGGCAAGAAGTGACAGCCGGGTAGAGAAATAAAGGGTCAGCATGCTCTGTCATCTAATAACCCGGGGACGGCAGGTATAGGCGTCCTGCATTATCAGTGTCTTCCTGAAAAATGCTACGCACATCAAATGATGCCTGTTGGTTGCATTTTACGGTAACAGAGGCGTTGGTGTGAAAGAACGACACCTGGACTTCTCCGGCACGGGGCTTGTGTGAAAGCCCTCGGCCTCTTTGCTTTGCTCTCCCCTGACTTGGGATTCAGCCACACGGACTGCCTGCCCCAGCTCAGGATGAGCCCCTCCCAGGGGTCACTACGCCACGCGGGCACGGTGCCCGGCAGGACTCAGTGCACCGGGATGAAACACACAGAAGCGGAGCCCCCCAGCTCTCGGAGAGAAGGCCTCTCAGCCCAACCCCACGGCATGTGCCCTCGGCTTTTCCGCAGAGTTCCCGAGGGTCCTTCTGAGCTGGGTGGTCCTGGGAGCAGTGTTTTCATTCTGTTTGTTCAAGCTCTTTCCCAGGATGCTCCTTCCCTCCGGCCCAGCACTAGGCCCCAGCTGGAGTGCACAAGAATGAGGCAGAGAGCCTGCCCTGAAGGTTCCTTGGGAGGTGGGGGATGGAGAGACAGACACACCCTGGTCAGTTCTCGGATTCTGTTTAGTGCCCAGGGTCAAACAAGGGCTGTCTCCCAGGTCTGAGGTAGACAGAAGAGTGTCACCTGGGGCACTAGAAGGCGTTCTTGGGGAGGTGGGACACGAGCCAGGGCCTAAGTATGAATGACTGAGAGTCCAGTGGGAGAGCGTCTTGCAGAAGGTCCTGCCGGCAGCCGGCTGTGCCCTCTTGTTTCTAGCGTGGCACTGGGGTAGCTGTGTGTGGGAACCAGGCGGCTGGTCTAGGGGCACAGGGTGTGCCTGTGTGTGCAGCGCTGCCTGGGAGGTGAGGGGCCCGGGCCTCCACCCACCCTCCCGACGGCGTGCACTGGGATGCCCGCTTGGAGCCTGTGGGTGTCTGGCTCAGTGTGGGGCAGAGAAGCAAAGGAAGGCTGGGAGCTTCTCAGAAAGCTGCTTCTTTTACTTAGCAAATGCACAACTTTTACTTAGCTAGTTATCTCACTCAGTGACATGCAAGCTGCAACTTTTAAGACGCTTTTACTTCCACTTGCCAAATGTCATGCCAGAGAAGGATACTCACACGAGGAACTTATGTCCCTCCCTCTGTCACACACTTGGGCATTTTTTAGTTTGGAAGGAAACTTCCCGGAGGGTGTTGGGAATCTAGGTCAAGAGGATCGACGTCTGCCCCAAGCCACTCTCTGGTACCCAGACTGAAAAGACTGTGTCTCTACGTATCTAGAATGTTCCAACATGCCAGAAGGGCCCTGTGAGGGAAGGACATGGAGGTGAGTGGATGCAAGCTCATCTTGTTAACGCCGCTGTGTTGTTTGCAGCCCCAACGTGTGTGCGGTGCAGAAGCTCATCGGCACCAACAAGAAGTACTTCACCAACTGCAAGCAGTGGTACCAGAGGAAGATCTGTGGCAAGTCAACGTGAGTATGTGTGACCACCCGAGACTGCCAGGCACTCAGGAGGCTGAGCCCAGTGTCCGCCCACTGCGGGACCCTCGGGCCTGGGCCGGGCTCTGGAAGGCCTGTGCAGACACGCCAGGGAGCTGTGTGCCTGGGAGTGGCGGTTTTAGTAAGCTGGCCAGTTTTGTTTTGCATTTTTAAGGCTCCTGAAGAGACTTGGTTGCATTTTTCAGGGCTGATTTGAGATTACAAGAAGCATGAAATGTGGTGTGTGTGTGTGTGTGTGTGTATGTGTGTGTGTGTGTGAATTTTTTTAATGTTACTTTACAATTTTTATTTCTTAAGTATATTTTATTGATTATGCTATTACAGTTTTCCCACTTTTCCCCCCATTCCCCCTCCCTCTGCATTCCCCAACCCTCCCACATTCCCCCTCCTTAGTTCATGTCCGTGAGTCAAACATATATGTTCTTTGACTTCGTTTCCTATATTCTTCTTAACCTCTCCCCCTCTGTTTATGCCTACCAATTATGTTTCTTATTCCCTGTACCTTTTCCCCCCATTCTTCCCCTCTTCTTCCCCAATGAAAACCCTTCATGTGAGGTCCATTTCTCGGATTCCGTTCCTGTTCTAGTTGTTTGCTTAGTTTTTGTTTTCATTGTGGGGTTTTTTTAGGTTTAGTTGTTGATAATTGTGACTTTGTTGTCATTTTACTGTTCATAGTGTTTGATCTTCTTCAATTTCTTAGCTAAGTCCCTTTAACGTTTCATATAATAAGGGCTTGGTGATGATGAACTTCTTCTGATATTTTTATTTGTGGAGACCTGGCCCACAACCCAGGCATGTGCCGTGACTGGGATTCAAACCAGTGACCCTTTTGGTTTGCAGGCATGTGCTCAGTCCCCTGAGCCACATCAGCCAGGGCTGATGAACTTCTTTAACTTCACCTTACCTGGGAAGCACTTTATCTGCTCTTCCATTCTAAATGAAAGCTTTGCTGGATAGAGCAATCTTGGATGTAGGTCCTTATCTTTCATGACTTGGGATGCTTCTTTCCAGCCCCTTCTTGCCTGTAAGGTTTCTTTGGAGAAATCAGCTAATAGTCTAATGGGAACTCCTTTGTAGGTAACTGTCTCCTTTTCTCTTGCTGCTTTTAAGATTCTCTCTTTATTTTTAATCTTGGGTAACTTAATGATGGTGTGCCTTGGTGTGTTGCTCCTTGGGTCCAACTTTTTTAGGACTGTCTGGGCTTCCTGGACTTCCTGGAAGTCTAATTCCTTCACCAGTTTGAGGACGTTTTCCTTCATTCTTTGTTCAAGTTTTCAATTACTTGTTCTCCCTCTTCTCCTTCTAATACCCCTATGATTTGGATGTTGGAACATTTAAAATTGTCCCAGAGGTTCCCAAGCCTCTCCTCATTTTTTTGAATTCTTGTTTCTTCATTCTGTTCTGGTTGGATGTTTATTCCTTTTGTTCCAAATTGTTGATTGAGTCCTAGTTTTCTTCCCTTCACTGTTGGTTCCATGTATATTTTACTTTACTTCACTTTGGGTGTCTTTCATTTCTTCCTTCATTTTGCGACCAAGCTCAATCAGTACTGTGAGCATCCTGACCACCAGTGTTTTGAACTCTGCATCAGACTGGCTATCTCCTCGTTGCTTAACTCTTTTTCTGGAGTTTTGCTGTGTTCTCTTCTTTGGGCCATATTTCTTTGTCTCAGCACACCAGTCTGGTTGACTGTTTCTTTAATTCCTTGGTTGTCGGAGTTCCATGCAGTTTGATTCTCTGTCACTTCTGGTTGTTTATTGTTTTTATATTGGTAGTTATCCTCCTTTCAGTTGTTCAAGGAAGCGAAGGGTTTCTACCTACACCTCCTTCTTGGCTGGAGCTCCTTGAATTTCTTAATCCTCACTAAACGATACAAATATTATTGTGGAGGAGAAGTGGGCAGCCTGCGGCTCTGGGAAAGGCCCCCTGGTGAGCCGATACTCCAGGCCTGCTGTGCAGTGCTCAGGCAGATGCCCCGGAACCGCTCGAGAGCCTGGACATGTGCACGTTACCAGTCAGTGCAGCATTTGAGGAACAGAGGCCGCGACTCCCTCATTCAAACCCTGGCTCTGCCGCTTCCCTGGGCAAGTCGCTTCACCCTGGAGCCCTCCATTACCTAATCTGTAAGATGGAAATAGCAGCAGGACGGACTCACAGGACTGTTAGGAGGACTGAATGAAGTAGTGCCCATGAGAGGCTACCTGCCATTCTCAGTACCAGCAGGCCTTGAAAATCTAGGCCACGCAAACAGAGGCGAGAGTGCCAGCGGGGTGTGGGCCCGTGGGCTGTGGGCCAGCGTGGTCACGGCGGGGCTCGGTGGCGTCTCCGCCAGCGAGCAGGGAGGCACGCTCGCCCGGCCACCTGCTGCCTGGTGCGAACAGGGGGCTGTGCGTGTCCTAACAGAAACCCGTGGAAACCTGATCTGTCTGGGCACCAACCATCAGCAGATCTTGGAGCTGGCTCCCTCCCTCAGACAGCAACGTGTGCTGTGTGAGGCCTCCCAAGCCTCTTGGGAGGGCCTGTCCCCCCCCCGCCCGTCTGCATCCCGGGAGGGTTCTGAGACTCCACGCTACTGCCTTGAACAGTTCCCACATTAGGGATTTTTAAAAGTGTTGCTTTTGAGCAGATATCTTCTTCAGTTGCATAACCAACTAAAGGAAGGTAAAATGCTCTTTCTTTGAAATGTGTATGGAAATAAATCCCACAACTGTGATCCTTATTATGTTAGTCAATTATCCATCCTGCATGCATCAGGAGAAGTTAGGGATTGTGGCAGAGCTGGGGAGAGACCAGCAGCTCCCTGGGAGCCTGTCAAGGGCAGGTGCGTGACAGCTGGTTCCCCAGGTGCCCACGCCCAGCTTCAAAGGCGAGGGTTGACAGAGCTGAGAGGACACGCCTCCTGGGTTCATGAGCAAACACGCAGGGATAGTTCCCTTTGCTATGGACAAAAGAGATGATGTAGGTTCTGGACCACAGACCATTTCATGGTGCTCAAGTTAAAAAGAAAAGGAAAGAAAAGAATATACCCTGGCTGGATGGCTCAGTTGGTTGGAGCATTGTCCTATACACCAAGAGGATGCAGGTTCGATTCCCAGTCAGGGCAAATACCTAGGTTGTGGGTTTGATCCCCAGTTGGAGAACATATGGGAGGCAACCAATCAACGTTTCTCTCTCACATTGATGTTTGTCTTTCTCTGCTCCTTCTTCTCTCTCTCAAATTAATAAACATACCCTCTGATGAGGATTAAAAAAGAAAGAATACCTTTAGTACTCTGATTTTTCCCGTGTGCAAACATTATGCACTCACACAAACCAGTTACCTAAACACCAAGCCAGGCCCCACGTAACTGCTTTGTGGAAGGCGACCGAAGCATCAGCGCTGAGCAGACAGAGAACCCTGGGCTTCGAAGAGCTCTACCTTTGTGTTAGCACCTGTGTGTTTCCCTAAAAATGAGACCTGCTTATGATGTCAAGCTGGCAGTGGAGTGGCACTGGCCATGGTGTCCCGGGGCCTGCGTGGAGGACTGGCCGCAGCAGCAGCGGTCGGCTGGAGACGTGCCCCAGCAGTTCCCAGCGGACCCTGCTGTTGACGGTGAGCCGTCCTGGCTTAGTGGCTCTTGTCCCTGCATCCGTCTCCACCCGCGTGCTAGGACGCAGCACAGGCAGCACAGCCGTGTGCTGGCAGATGTCCTGGCGACCCCGCCCTCCCCTCCAGGCAGGCCGGCTCTGAGAGGGTGGTCCTGTCATGGTGCACCCCCCTCACACCTGCACATGCAGGGTCTCCCGGGCACTGGGAGCAGGAATGGGTGGGTGGGGTGCAGGTGCAGAAAGTGCTGTGTGCAGGGGAGTCAGGCAGAGCCCGGTGCCCTGGCCCAGCGGTCGCCCCGGCCTTAGGGAGCCAGATAGGCACATTCAACTCTTCAGGGTGGCCGTTGCTTTGGGCAGCTTCAGAAAAGGAAATGAGGGTAAAAAACTTGGGGTGAAACAAAACTTCACGGTCTGGGACAAGAGGGTCGCTTCCTAGAACACCATGTGTGCGTGTTACGGAGGGGGAGCTGAGTTGGTGGAGGTCCAGGGAACCCGGGAGGGAGGAGGGAAGCAGCTGACCCTTGTCCTGGGAGGGCCGAGGAAGAGCAGCCTCGCCGCTCACTGCCGTGCCCAGGACCGAGAGCCACGTGGGAGCCGCCATCCGACCCCCGGAATTAAGTGCCGTGGGTGGCCATGACGGGAAGGGGAGAGAGCTGTACTGGCTGGCAGCGATGTCACACTGGTGGGAATGGGTCCCTGCACACCTTCGTCTGGGTGAGGACCAGACTGGGCAGAGGGGAGCACGTGGTGGTTGGAAGACTCTCTCTGCGCAGGGCTGCCTCGGGCAGTGGGAACTCTCTCAGCAAGTCTCCAGGGAAGAGACTGGAGTGGAAGTGTACATTGTCACAGGGGAGGGGCAGCACAGGTCACTAAGAGCCCAAGACCAAGGAGAACTTGAACTTGAAAGCAGTCCAGCAACACCAAGCAGGGGTAGGAGGCACATGTGTGTGTGCTTGTGTGTGTATGTGAAGACTTTGTAGTGTCAGGTCAGAGACCCAGGAGCCTGGAGTCACCTCCATGAAGGGAGGGAGGGGACACGCCACACTTAGCACTCCCCTCAGGCATCCTCCCTGCACTGTCCTGGGACCATAACTTCTCTGCTTTTCCTAAAAGAGAAGAACTGGAGTCTTGGATGCTATTTGTCAAGTCGACATGTGGACTTTATTACCAGAAGAGGTTACCAGTGGGCCTCTATTTAGGAACTTGAGTGAACCTTAGGACTTGGAACTTTCAGGTAGCTTTCACTTCAGACCCTAAAGAGCACCATAGAGGTCCGGTAGTAAGGAGACAAAGAGAACTGAGAGCGAGCAGCAATCCCACTCTGGTTTTAGGCCCCAGTCGGGTCGGCCACCAGGACATTTGTACGCGCAGCAGCTTGAGTGACA